CTATGTTTTACAGATGTGGTGATGTCACTGATGTAAAGCAAAAAGAGTAAGGGGTCGAGCACTCTCCCTTGAATGACTCCACTGGTAATTGAGCGTGGGGAAGAGCGATAATCACTTAAAGTGACTACCTGATGACGATCACTCAGGTATGACGAAAGCCAACCTACTAATGGTTCCCGGATCCCAAAGTTTTCCAACTTTTGTAACAGTCGCTTGTGCGGTACTCGGTCGAACACTTGGTGTATGTCAAGATACAAGATTACTACTGAATAGCCGGAATCGATTGATTCTGAAATGTGATTGAGGTAATGCAGTTGACAGATGGTGCACGATCGCTTATTGAGAAAACCATGCTGCGGATTATTGATTAGGAGTAAGTGACCCTCACCATCAACAATTTCGGTAATCCGAGGAGAGCGGTCACTGGTTCTACGATGCAGTATTTTGACAAGCTCCCTAGCTTTGCAGCTTGTCCTTGGGGCTATTATGTCGTCGTGTTAATTACACGTGTTTGACTCTGGTGGTAAATTCATGCATGTAAGACAAGTGAAAAGTCATGGGTCATTCTGTATCTTGCAGCTAACTTTTTGGTTTTCTTGCTGATTAAGTGCTCGACGGAATCTTTGGAGACATGAGGGGTATGAATACATTGTAGAGCAAGGAGGGCTATAGCGTGATGGATTTGTTTATAGAACTGCTCCACACTGGTAGATAGGAAAAATGCATCCCAGTCGGAGAGACGAATGAACTGCTAAAAGCATTCTCAGTTTATCTTATGGGTTGCAACTGGCGTTGTAGAGGCGAGTTTAGTTACCATTTTAATTTGGAGGCTGAGTCGGATCATGTTATGTTCGCTGCCAGGGAGATTGTGGATTGGGTATCCCCACTGTGAATATTAAGTCCAGTACATTCGCGGACCTAGTTGGGCTGGTAATCCATTGTGTCCAGCCCCCAGCTCTGATGGGATGACCAGCGTATTTTCGGTAGGTTGAAATCGCCGGCAATAATCTTCTGGCTGTGGGGCACCTCTGATGCGAAGTCTAATGCAGAAGTGATGTTGGTGATACTTACGTTAGACACATTCGGTGGGTTGTAGATACATGCGAGCAGTGTGTAAGATGAGACACCCACAACTAACAGCCAAATATATTCATGGAAACAGCGTTCGCTGGACACGACCTAGAAGTTGTGGAGCTACTTCCTGATGAGCGACTTCTTGACTTGGAGTATGCAGACGATATTGCCCTACTCTGTGACAGCTCCCAAACATGCCAAGCTGCACTGGCACTGACTGCCAATCGTTTTGGACTGTACTTTGCTCCATGGAAATGCAAAGTTCTTCTCCAAGGTAGATAAGGACCCACCCCTGCGCTGACCCTTGTTTGTGATCAGCTAGAAGTCGATCAGGAATTCAAGTACCTGTACAGCTATATTAGCGCCCGTGGGATTGAAACTGAGATTACGAACCGTATAGCAAACTCGAGGTGCTTTCGCCAATCTCCGCCACCTGTGGCGTAGACGCGACATCACTCTCGCCCTGAAGGGCAGAGTTTTTAATGCAGCCGTCCATTTAACCCACTTCTACGGTTGTGAAACCTGGCCCATCAGATCGACAGACATTAAGAGGCTAGCCACGTTCGATCATCGCTGCCTACGCAACTTAGCTCATGTCTGGTGGGAGCACCGCGTGAACAATGAGCGTGTTCGGCGTCGCGTAATTGGTACAGGAAGACCTGGTGAACTGCTTAGCACCATCATGTCGCGCATCAGGCTCCGATGGCTGGGCCACGTGTTGCGCATGCCAACACACCGACTCCCGCGACATACATTGTTTGCACGCCGTGCGTGCGATTGGAAGTAGAAGATGGGAGGCCAAGCGATGACTTGGTCGGGAGGAATGAAAACCCTCACTTCAAAGTTGGTGTCGGTTGGTGCATTCCAACTGCCTGGCTGGGGTCATAAGGACGATGAACACGTTTGGTTGGCCACACTTGCTGATTTGACTAGGAGCCAACCCCAATAGCGTTTGTGTTGTGAGTTCCTTTGTCCATCCCCCTCCTGATTAGCCTTCCCCTCCATTCACGATCTCATTCGTTAGGCATAATATAACTCTTTTTGCAGCACAACAGCCGGTTGTTAGCGCTGCAGAACGATGTCCATCCGTTACTGGGGACTCAGCCGGCGTGCCATTGTCTTTTTCTTGTCCTTTATATTGCGGCACAATAGCTGGGGTGTTTTCCACCTGCAGCTAACGTGTATTATGATTGGTTCTTAGTGTGTTCCGAAATACATAGAGGAGGATTAAGGGTTTAGATAATTTAAAAGCAGTATCACATTGCAACTAATCAAACGATCGCTTATAACAACTCTGTAACTATGCGAAAACATTTTTGAGTAGAAATTGACTGGAATACAAACTTACTCGTATGTTCATATTAGTTACATGGGGTTTGAATGTGACCACTGTTTACTCGAACGTATATGATTAGTTTAAAGCACCACTTCCTTGATTCCGTTTTTTACGTTCCATTTGAATTCACTTATTTTTTATCCTTGTTATTCTGGCGATGTGATTCATGGCAAATGGGTCCACTGTACTTCGGTGCCCGGATCATAGTTGTTTAACTAACTTGACAATATATCTGCCACGACCTCCTTAAGATAGTCTTTTTAATATGCGCCAGTCATTCGAAATCTGCCGATAGGGAAGGAGAAAGGAAAATACGTTGTTTTCTCTCATCTCATTTATATGGAACTTTCTATTACTGCGGCTTTTTAGGTATTTCTTCTTTTTCTTCATATTTTGCCCTCTCCGACCTGCTGCGAATTCGCTTCAACTGGGGAGCCCGGACTAAAAGTGACTCAAAGTTATGTGAGGAGCAGTGCTTTGTTACATCTCGGTGGCTCATGGTACTTGGTTGATTCGAAGCAGCACTACCGTCCGCCTTTGTAATGCATGCTTTCCTTGTGCTGCGTTATGTGTACAGGTATCCTGTCACATATCCTTAATGCTCGTGGAATTTTCTGACACCTGTATCACTGTGGTGTTAGTTTAACAGTCGATGATGGCAACCTATAATCTGCTGTCAGCGTCGTTGCCTGATTCAAAGGCATATCTGCTTCACATTACAGGTACCATAGCTGACGCAGCACCGCTAGTATGTAGTGTTTGTTCCGAGCATGCGATACCGAAACCCACTTGCGATCGAGAATGTTGTATTACTCTCCGAGCTAGGCGCTTTTTGTGGCAAATGTTTCCCTACCAGGGTACGAAGCCTGCTTACTAACGAGGCATCTGCAATCAACTCGCCTACATCGGAGACACGAAACATTCGCATCCTAGCGTTCTGAGCTACGGGTCTTTTAAATGGTTGGCACGACTGGGCACTCAACCGCAGACTCCTTGATGTGATGCGAAATCGTCCATTGAACACAACATTCTACAGTGACTAGTTCACTTTCGTTGCTTGCATAATTGCCAATGTCATTTCTGCGCCTTCTCTGCGGGGTCTCTTTGATGGATGCCCCAGGATGGCTGATGGATGAGTTCGTGAACACAAACGCATGCGCTGACTTGTGGGTATGGTGAAGCCAGTGTTTGTTATTCTTGTGCATTGTGTTTCCGATGTTAGCCACACCAGTTGGTCCTCGCACCATCGTACGTTGTATGGATACATTAATGTTTTTTTTGCATTCGGCTATTTCTAACTCCGCCTATTTTTCTGGTTAGGTTCCCTGTTACTCCCACGCCCCCGCTCTTAACGACGTCATTATTACTGTGTTTAGGTGTGTGTGTGTGTGTGGTCATTCCATTCATTTTCCTCAACGTTTCGTTACTATTCGTGTTGTATATCAACGTTTCACTGAGTCTGATTACTATGTGACTCTTTCAGTAGGCATAAGCATTTTCGCTCCTCCTTGCTCCATTGATACTATCGGAGCTGTTCGCCGATTGCTGGTTCAGTGAAAACACCTGATTATGCGCACCTGCATTGGGTTGTTTGTCACTTCGTTGGCACGAACTATGGACCATGCTGCTTGCAGTATATCACCGACAGTATTCACTGAGTGTTTTTGCGTCGAAGTTGGTTTGCGAACAAGTAGATAAGTAGAAATTTTGTCTCTCCATAGTGCAATAAACCGTTCCCGGGTAGGGACGCATCATTAATTACTTATTTGTGTTTCTCTACATCGATAGACTTCCTAGACGATCTTGTCGTCGGATGATAACCTTTGTTGCTACGCTGATCGATGAGCAACAAAAGTATGTTATGTTTTTCTATTCGCATCAACTCTAGCTCCTCTGATGTTGCTCCGGCTTTCGGTCAACAGGCCCTTCGCCTTTGTTCATACTGCTTCCACTTCTCTTTTTAATTGACCGGAATAGGGACTAATTGGTCTGGGTACAGACTTCCACCGGTCCTCATAAATAAGGAATCCGCACTTATAAATCGAAGTCCATTATCGAAGACGAGTTCTTATGCTATGTACCAAAGGAGTTGACACCGCTCGTTGCTAGCGACTCGCGTTATGACAGTCCTGAACGAGTCATTCCTGAGGTGTGGATTGTACTTGTCTACCGTTTGGACAAGTCTGTTACCAAAGTCCACCTCATGCTAATTTTACTGGTAAAGTGGACTGTCTCGGTTGTAGCTAACGATTTCGGATATGAGCATCATTTGGCGTTGTGTGCCAATTTTGTCTCACTTCTAAATGGGCCCGATCAGCATGTACCTGCGAAGTTACTCTGGAGCCAATTGAGAGACTGGCAACTACGGATTGCTTTAGCGCGAAAGTTTTGCGTTATCAGCTACCATCGGAAGCTGGATGTTGTACTACTACGCATACTAAGCATGCGTACCGTTGTCACTTCATCCTGGACTCTCTTATTGTACTTGCGGTATATTCTGGGTTTTCGTTTGATCTCTTTTCGCACTATTTTTGTTAGTTTGTTCGTTGACCATTGTAGTTGATCATGGGTCTCTTTTTTCCCCCAATAGCCATCGGAAGCGTTGTCATCTCCTCGTCTGAGCGGTGTGGATTCCCCTCCTACGTCATCTCGACTCGCATCATCAGTGAGCCTGGATACGTTCATCAACGGACTGGTCGTACGAGAGCTTCATGCGCTTCCTTTGGATGATCAAACCAAGGCATCTGTACTTACTGCTCTTCGGTTTGAGCTAACTCGACCAAAGCGTAGGGCAGATCTTTTTTATCGTGTGGTTCGAAAGTCTGGTCTTGAGGGTTCGACACGCTTATCATCAAAGGTACGTTTGTAATTTGACCTGGCTTAGGCAGGCGCCTTTTTCTTTCTGCTTTCCCATGCAATATACCGCGTGGAGTTTTTTTTTGCTCCAGCTCGTGTTCCGATTGGCTCATTTTCATTAGCCCGTAACCAATCTGTCCGAATTTGAACTGTGTTACTTGTCGAGCGGTCACGAATCAAGATGGTGCTTTCATTTCGCTCTGTGATGATGTCTTTGTCGTCACATTCGCTTACGGTAGTCTAGATAACTTCCGTCGAGTCCGCATGGTATGATGCATGGGGAGTGAGTGCGATTAGTGTTGCGATTCCCTCAAATTTTTCTTTGCGATTGGAAGTTGCTGGATGATGGGTCTCGCGTCGGCGGATTCTTCTACACTGACCAAGTGGGATAGTCTCCTTCTGAATTCTTTTGAGTTCACCCTCACAGCTGCCCCCGCTGTTGTTAGTACTCATTCCCGGCAATTAACGTTCGTCACCGATTCATTTATTTTATGTCTCTCCGCATGTCCACAATGACATCATCATTGTTATTGCCATAGCCGCCTTTCTCCGTCCATCAACCGGTAGCATTCGCTCTTGGTCACCACTTTAGTCTGTTTCGATTTATAACGCTTGGTCCCCACGACACAGCCATTTTCCCATCTCATTATCACTAATGCCTACATAACCTACCGAGGTTTAGCAGTCTACCGGTTACGTCCCCGTCACCATTTTATTCTTTTAACATGGCATAGACTTGTTAAAACTCTTTAGATGACACGTTCCGTCTGCGTTCAATTTGATCGCAATGGCCAGCCCAACACTTGACGAAGTTACTTTTCTTCTGGTCCGAACCCACGAATTTGCTGGTTAACTGTTTCCCAACAACAAGCCATCTACGTATGATATTCACGATATATATATATATATATATATATATACTTTTAGTGCGGTGTTATTTTATTTCGTGTAGTGCCGTCTTTATATTCATCACCAGTGATCTCTTCAATTCTGTCTTCTTCCCCTCCAACTTAATTCTCCCCACAGTAGGCCACCAAATATTTGTTCCTGATTTCTCGTTTTACTTTATTTATGTACCGAAGTTGTTTTTGAGGTTCATCGTTTCGGTTTCCGCCTCCGTTCTCATTCCTCACTCTCTTAGATTTGACATGGACTGGATCTCCACACACATATACACATGCACTAAACTATCACGTCTAGGCTTGTTTACCATAGTGACGTTACATTCAATCGGATTACGGTAATTGTCTGGACGTTCCACTGAACTTCGTAGCTGTGTCACATTTTTTTAGGAATCTCAGGGCACTGCTCTTTATTGTTGCTTTGGCGTGCACCCGAGCCGACTGCAGTTTGGAAGATGTCAGTGACGAATTCATTCGATAGCTCTGTTCCTTTATTTGGGATGGTAGCGGCTGCGGTGAATTGTCGGATCGTTCGTTTGTCGATCTTTAGTGGCACTAAGATTACCGTTTTACTTTTCACGCTTTGTTGTGATGATAGTGCCGACCGGTTTTTACCACAGCTGTAGCTCGTCATATCTAAACGCATCATTGCCCTGAAATGCGAACATTTCCATGGATTCGCTTGTCGTTCTCCCGAGCGATGCAGTGTCCTAGCTTTCTCCCGCTCGCATCCTTATCAGCCACGACCGATGTATATCAGTGCAGAGCTGTTTGCCACCATGGGGCACTCACCGCCCTTTACTGCTTATCAATTTCGCCATCGAAGATGTTGTCCAAAGAGCACTGGAAGGTGTCCAGGACTACGATATTGAGCTCCTCTCTGGAGACAGAGTCACTTACTTGGACTACCCCTATGATATCGCCTTGTTCGGGGACGACCCACAAACCGTCCAGAGCGCTTTGGACCGCTTGGTGATGGAGGCGTCTAAGTACGGCTTGTGTTTCACTCCGGGAAGGTGCCTGAACCCGCGCTCACCATTGATGGCCATGTTCTGGAGCAAGTCCTTTGCTTTACTTATTTGGGGAGTTGCATCACGGCTGGTGGTGGTGTTGGAGATGAAGTATCACAACGGATTGCAAAGGCTCGTCTTGTATTCATCAAACTGAAACACCTATGGCAGCGTCGTGATGTCAGTCTCAAGTTCAAGGGCAGGGTGTACAATACTTCCGTCCGTGCCGTACTCTTGTACGGCTGTGAGACTTGGCCTATTCGCTCGGAAGATATGAAGCGGCTGTCAGTCTTTGACAATCGCTGTCTGCCAAGCATTGCTCGGTTGTGGTGGCAACACCACGTAAGCAACACAGAGGTGCGAGACTGTGTGCTTGGAACGAATATTGCCAGTCTTCAGGACGTTATTCTCCGACATCGCATGCGTTGGCTCCGGCACGTTTTGCGCGTGCCAGCCCATCGCCTTTCACCTCGGGCGCTATTTGCACTACCAGGGAGCAATTGGAAAAAGTGTCGTGGTGGACAGCCAATGACGTGGAGAAGGAGCATGAAGAAGGCAACCTCAAGTTTGGCGGCAGTCGGACCAGTCCGTCTTCCAGGTTGGGGACCACGAGATGCTGAATCGCATTGGTTGGAAACATTAGACGTCATGTCCCGCAACAGACATCAGTGGCGTCGATGTTGTTCTGCCATTATTTCCCCCTTTAATACACACAAAAATACAAAATGGCGTGTGTAAAACCAAAAAAATCGTTTCCCTTTTTTTAATCGCGGTTCGTGTTCCCATCTTCCTCACTTTTTTCTTCTGCCATGGTTCTGATGGCACAATGTCTGTTAACAGACTGTGAATATATATATATATATATATATATATATATATATATATATACTGTTTATCAGCGCATCGTTTACCTACGCGGATCCATGAAAACTCCTTGCTTTGAGGTTACCTTCTTGTCACGGGCCCTCGCTTTGCGAAGCAACACCATGAGATCGAGCCATCCTATCATCTACCGCTGTTGAATGTGATGAATGATCTGGATGCCGTATGGAGTCGCCTCTACTATGCTTGGAGGCACTAGGAGCCGCTTGTCAACCCTGTGTGTAGCCTGTAAGCCAGTCGAGTTTCTCAAGTTTCGACTTATTCTTTTCTAAGACGGCTGATTACGTCGCTGTCGTCCGCACTGGTTTATTCGGAAACATTCGCGTGTGATATGTATCGTTTCTTTGACTTGAGCTGGGTTACAGCATTACATCACTGCAACCCACCCATCACACAGGTAATACAGCCCAAGCAATGAATCTTTTGCCACACTACACTCACGGATGCGCTTTGGCTTCAGTCACCTTCATATTTGTCTCAAAGAGCCACAATGAGGCTGGTGATAAATGGGCAAACGAACAGTATAGGCCAATACAGGAATTTAGCAAAATGCCAGTTTGCAGAGAAGATCTTTATTGCCGTGCGTGAGGAAACGAATGCTTCATCGTTGTGACCGCATAACTTGTGATGATCGACTTCGTTTCCAACCTCTTATGTTATTCGTTAAGTTGCTCACTGCGGTCACACGGTGTTTCTTCCTGCATTTTTGCCACTTCATCTACTGGCCACCATGGACTTTCGCCCTGCTAGTTGCATGCAGTATTGGACTTCACAGGGGACGCTGGTAAACAGATATGCGATGAACGTGATCTCGTTAACCGTGATGGTGAAATTTCAACCTATATCCTACTGCGGCAGGAAACATTTTATTTTCATTTATCAAATGACGCACAACAATCTTACTCATTAGGTGTGCACACCAGACTTGAGTAATACTTCACAGGTATTGACAGCCAAACATAGTCAGCATTTTAATCCTGGTAAATTCTAATAGCTGCCTCTGATCCACTCATCAACAGCGGATGCACTGAAGTGCAGTAACCCTTCACTTAAACAATGAAGTTATATCCCTTTGTCCCACAAATAACGTAGACATGACTAGGTGACTGCGGATAGGAGAGGCGACACAAACCTTAGCAATGCGTACCACAGCTTCTTCTGTAATGCGATCAATGGAGACGACACGGTCACCTAGGTAATTAAACCTATCTACCACTCCGAGTTGTGGCTGGTTGAATAGGGCAACTGATTATCTGTTGGCCCAGTATTGTAACATTACTTCACACTTTGAAGGCACTAGGTACATTCGGAAACGTGTTAGTTGATTCTGTACCACTCCCATTACGGCGGCATCCGTCCAAACCGAACCATGGCACTCGCAGATGGTATGTTTGTCATACGGTCACCTAACAGAACCTCTGTTCCAGAACGGCCTGAAAATAAGAAAACAGAATAATTCATTGCTAGTTCGATCATGAACTTAAGATGAAAATGCGAAATGAGGTGGTCCTGGTGCACTCCGATAATCAGTGTAAAAGTACGAAACGATTTCCTTATATCCCCAAATGCTTCCGGGAGTCGTGGCGTTCCAGCAAGCCCATCAAACGTGGTCATAGCCACTGTTAGATGCTGTCAATTGAATCCGTTGCGGCTCTCAAATCAACGAAACTGTTATTAGTAAGCGCGGTACTGGTTAGCTATGCGGTCAAGAGTGCCATTGAGGTCAACAAGTATAAACACCACCATGGCTGAAGCGAGAGGCCCTTACACTCATTTATATTTCATGACGATCAATGCGATCGCAGCATGATGAGTGAGTGATTGAGCTTGCCGCACCAGCTGTTTTGACACGCTATGTTCAGCTTAACATTCAAACAACTTGTCTCTTTTCTATTTTTCCCAACCTTTGTCGCTCTCTCGAGATCTCAGCATTTACCAGTGATCGGGTGATTCCAATGACTCATATTGCCTTTTCACGAGTTCTCTTTATACACGATACTTCCCGTCAATTCGTAACCAGTCATCATTTTAGAATTTTGCGCACCTCTTCAATGTTGCTGGTGTTTGTACTGCTAAACTCCACGGCCGACACGTAACCTTAGCGATCATGAGCTTGCCTTGTAATCCGTAGGGCACGGGTTCGAGCCTGCGTAGGAGCAAAGCGACGCACAAAGCATCCTTAGCCCACTTGCGAGTAATGGTGGTTGCGCGTCACTGAAGCCTCGTTACTACGTAATGGCCTACTGCTCCTACCTGCTACTACTACTATTACTACTACTACTACTGCTACTACTACTACTACTACCTACCCTGATGCGCCATCGGCTTAGGCATTTATTTCACTCGCAACTGTCTTGACATACGTACCTTGGCTATCCGATGTGATCACGAAATTCGATAGGACGGTAAGTCGAAACAGGACGACGCATTGACTTCGGCGGCCACGTATACACTTCATCTGGGCTTCACATCCAAATTGCACACATGTGGCTGCTTGTTGGGACCCATTCTATGCCATTTATCGGCTAGGTCGGTGTATACTGTACGCAACTTCAGCTGTACAATCAAATCCCTCTGTCATTCACGCACATCTGTCCGTCCATCAACCCAATTTTGTCATAACAAATGCCGCGAACCACTGAATAGGAACAAATGAATACACGAGCAATGTGAGCTCTATCTCTGGCATCCGAATCTATTAATCAACATGCACTACGACACCGATGTCCTTTGCGCGTTTCAGAGACACCAGTGTTTGTGAGATCAGTTGGTAACGCATGTTGGCCGACCTGTCGATATACGGACGTAACAGTTCTTATTGGATTTAAGGAATAGCCTGACTTCCTTGTTTGTATGGCTGAGGTTGTGATCGAAATGTCAATTTGTTCACAGAAATGAGCAATTCGATTACAGAAGTTTCGTCACCAATCGAGAACACCTCTTCAGTGCTTAGTGATGATGGCGCCTCCAATAGTTTTAGTGTCGGCACAAGACTAGGAGGAACTGCGCTTAGCACAAATCCGGGATGGATGTAGCCGCCTGACAGGCTTATCTTTATACACCTTTCTAATGCGAGTAAGCAAGCTGCATCCGGATTGGCTGTCAAACGTTGTACGTGACAATGCTCATGCGGTTTACTATGGCCGTCGTAAAGAGTGTTGCGACGTTGGGTGGATGCTTTCTATCCAATAGGCGCAAAAAGCACAATGACTCTGGATGCGATTACAAAGATAGATCCGTTGTTTGCTGCTATTTTAGGCGCGCCTTTTCAGTCCGCTTGATGACCCTCCTTCTTAGTTAATATATAGGGTCTAGATCACTGTGTATATCTATGAAGTTCTTCGTACATTTCCAGCCTTCGTGGGACTCTCTTTTCTTGGTTTTCCATTACTCAGTCTCTGTGTTGCTCCACTCAAAGTTGATTGACGTACGCAGACACCAATGACGATGCGTTCAGATGTTTGTAGATCCGCTTATTTTCTTATATTCTCATTTACGATTTCCTACCTGTTTTATCCACGTAGTTCCTTTCATAGTGTTGACACTATTCTGCACGCAGTATTTCGCTGTTCCTGCGCTTCTGATTCCTCTTTTGACGTTGATAAGGCATCAGCAGTACGCCGGTCCGCAGTACCGACGCTTCGCTGCCGCGCAACCGCCACCGGTCGCACGTGGGCTAGGATAATGCGAGGGTCGTCTCGTCCCTATGCAGGCTCAAACCCGCGCCGCCAGACTACAAATCGAGCTTGTTACCTTTGGGCTACCAGTTGGCTTCCATAAAGTCTTACCCAACGGTCTTCTGGTGTTGTGTGTGATGTGGTTTCAATAGTCTGGCTTCCACTTTCACATGTATGGCAGAACGCCTTGTTGACATTTGGCATTTTCCATTCTGCGGCCCAGGCATTTAACATTAGAGCTACGTGAATACCGGTTGCGTAGGAGTGATTTGAACAGATGATTTCTCTCCTTCCATTTTACTTCTAAAATGCTGCAATATTGTTCTGCCCGACGAAACAAATCCGCGCGCAGCTAGTTTTGTGATATTTCGGATGGTGGCAGTTGAAATTCAGGACTTGCTCGGTGTGTGTTTCCTTTATGAGAACGGAGGTGTATAGTTCGCCTTCCGTTTCGGATCCTATTATGAAATGAATTCGATCCTTTGCGTCATTGATCAAATTGTTCTCCTTACGCACCTTTCAGCGTTTGAGTATCGCGAAAGTGCCAGCCCGTAGCCTTAAGGATCACAAACCTGCCTTGTAATCCGAGTGCGCTGGTTCGAGTCTGCGTAGGGGCGGGCGACCCTCGCAGTACCCTTAGCCTAGGTGCGACTGGTGGTGGTTGCGTGGCAGCGAAGCGTCGGTACTGCGTACCGGCGTACTAATGATACCCTTACATGTCGTCTACGTATCCAACCTATAGTTTCGGGTTGATGCTGAAGTTGGTTGTCTCCCAACTTTTGCACTACGATCTCTGTAATGAGGCTTGGTATTGGGGATCCCATTGGTGCATATGAAATTGATCGAGGAGCACAGGCCGAGGATTTTGGATATGCTTTCAGTTGTCAGTTTCCCGATTCCTTGTTTGCTGTTATCCCGGCGCTCTGCGATATTTCTCTTGTCAACTGTATGCCAGTAGGATTAAGCAAGGCTGCGGCGTCGTCAATTCACATGTCTGTCGAAACATTTTCTGCTTTTTTTGAAAATAGACTAGATGTTGATTAGATGTTGACTAGATGTTTGAGCCGTCTCCATGGTACTTTAGCTGGGTTGCAGGTAAGTGTGCACACAACTGACACGATTTGTCTCGGTGATACACCGTTCTCGAGTACTTTTAGAGCACCATAAAACTGGCCAGTGTCCGAGTCACAAGCCTACATTCTGTCACTTTACCCTTTTCTTACTTTACTCAACTGTTGATACCTTTTCAATGATCTACACACCTTAATACTTATGATCAACGTTGGGTTAATTTCGGTACTTTTATATCTCAATATGTCCTCTAGGAGCTATTTCGTGTTCGCAGTATACTTCATCGTATTCACTATGACTGTCATCCGTCTCTTGCCTGCGGGAAGTATGGCGATGGATTCGTCGGTTTTCAGTGATTTTATCGCACTTTTCTCTTGCTGTGATAGATAGTTATATTGTTTATTATCTTTTGTAGTTGGAACGATTATATTTCTTAGTTACGTCTTAGTCCATTGATCTCCAAAGCATCCTTGAATTTGGCCAAATGTTTGGTGAATGCGAAGTCTTTCAATTTGTGCTGAGCTGTCCGTTGGACAATGTCGTTCAGCACCACTGAGCTCCGATTTGACGCTTTTCTGATCCAACCATCATTAGTATGTTAAAGACGACTAGTTTCCTTCATTAGTTTGAAAAGCACATTGGTTAGGCTGAACAAGGCACGGCTGTGCTCTGTACACAAGGCCAAAGTCAGTCCGCTTCCTCACGCAAACCTTTTATCTAAATAACTAACCTTTAATCTCAATTCACATTACATTCACCATCACGCCGGCATGCTGCTGTGACGTGGAACAACCACTCGGGTGTGTCACCTGACAATCAGAGACGTGTTAGTCGTTCGCAGCAGTGCAAACTTAGCTGCCCTAGTCTGATACGCGTCCACATTTATCTTTTGTTAGGCTGATGATGCTTTTGCATCGGGTTGCAGTATCTTCTATGTGACATACAAAACGGGATTTGGCACCATTCGACGTGTGCCTCACCATTCCCCGGGCTATAATGAACCTTCAAACAACCGACCTTCTGGATCGGTGCCACTTTCGAAACAGACAGTCGTTCGATGGGAGACCACGCCACACTTTTCACCCGAAGCCGGTATCAATTTCGAATCTCAGAACAATATGACTGATGTACAGAGCTATCTTTTTTCTATGCTGAACGTTAATATTCTAAAAAGCGTCACATTTCTTCTCCTGCTGCTGGCATGTTCAATAAACATGTTAGGTAAGTCATTTTTCATATTCAAACTCCCATATTTTCTATCTGTTTTACCGCAGATTTAAGCATACTTTACGGCCCTAATGGGTTATCAAAATACCTTTCCTATGGTGCCATATGACTTGGTGTTCTTTGCCCCCTTACTACTTGCTTGCTTCTTAATCGCCGAATTCGCATGTTTTTGTTTTTAATTCCCATCTTAAAGCTGTCCCGTGGGTGCAGCGGTCATTTTGAAGGCGTCGGTGCCCGAAACTTTGGAGATTTTTGCTTATTTAACGTTTGAGTCTACACTCCTCGCCTTAATAGATAGGGCCAAGGTTCTTGTGATACCGGTTCCGTGGTTACTACTTGTCGAGTTTGCGAATTACGGCAGTCGAAAGGAAAAGTGGCTTGCACTCTTACTGCTTGTTGCATTACTGTGGAAATGTAGTTGTTACATCAGTAGTACATTTGTTTGAGCGCTGACGCCGCAACTCCAAGTATCGGTGGGATCCACCGAGAGGCCAATTCTGCTGCAGTAGAACTAGACAGCACCTGGTTTTGACGACGACCCGTTTGGCACCTGTTTATGCGATAATATTGCACAGGGTCTTCGAAAATCTGACCGAGGACCTGCTTGAGCTTGATGAATGTTTGCGTCTCCAGATATTATCCACTTCAATTCTAAGAATCCACATCGGGAGTTGTACATTTGCAGTCTGTTACCCCCTTGCATCTGCTCCCTTGTTTTGATTTTTCTGCCTGATGGTTTTGTGCTTGTTGGTCCACATGATTTGGTTTTACTCTTCGTTATTATCGCTCTCGTTTTCCTTCCCTTTTAAACGTTACATTGCTAACCAGCGTGAATCAGAACGGGGTTATTGTTTGAACGCTTATCTCGAATTAGCTCTAGTGCTGCTTCGGACTCCGGTGGACTGTATCACGGTACCTCACACAATTTCATTATTGGGAAAACAATGTTGTCCTCAAACATGAGGACTTATGCGCACCCAAACATGGATGTTGTCTCTGATACGTCATGATTGAACTAAGATCCTCACAAATACTGCCTCGTGTGCTTGCGTTAAAAGGGCATTCTTTTCGTCTAATATCACTGGTTTGGAGATTACGGAGCATGACAACCGACCACTTGTATGGGTTTTTCAGTGTTATATTACGTTTCACACTTTCTGTAACCTTACAACACCTTCTATCATAGATACGCCTTTGTCCTTCGCTACTTAATCCTGTGCTCCATTACCACTGACGTGTCGCCGTACCAAAACTCGGTATCTCATAGCCAATCTTTCTGGGCACTTTGTCTCTACTCATACCAGTTCTTGTAGAAGAATTTTTTTAAAAATGCTCACCGCTACAAGTCACGGTGCAATGTTTGTTTGGGTATTGATCTCATGCACCGGACGCATATGCAAATCCATTTATGCTCGCACACGTGCTTACCACTCATTTGCGTTTAGCGCGCGTTTAGCGCAATCAAACTTCAGTTGTTCTGGAGTCTACCAGCAAAAAAAAACAAATTAATTTGTTTATTCCAATCAGCCGTATATGGCCTGTAAGCGGGAGCGATCAATTGCCTCGTGGCTGTCCAACGGTCTGGGCCATTTGTGTTCGCCTGTATTAAACATTATTCTTTTTACATTATTGTGTTCGTGTGTGCGACACCTCCCTCGTGGATGCATACAGGCTTGTCTTGAATTGAATTGACCACGTTACATGATGGAGATTTCCACCTTCCACCACTTATTCCATTGCATTAATTAAGTTCGCAATCACTTATTCGCCAGGCCCCACGTTTGGGGCTGAGCGGTATTTGGCTGGAGTGCCACAACGTCCTCGTCAGGTGATCACCTCACGTGATGGTTGCCTAGCCACATCAGGTGATGCAGCGTCCACCATATCTTTGTTTGCTTACCGCGCTTTTGCACACAGGACAAAATCCGTTATTTGACCCATGGCATGCACACGTTCGGTTCGGAATGTGTGTTACTAAAATTATTGTGATTTTTAATCCATTTTTTCGTGCACTTACATACGTAGCATAGCATACATAACATAACATAGTATTTTACTCGAAATAAAGGCCGTTCGAGTTAACACGTTTGCCAACGGATGAATAAAATTCCAATTCTGGAGGTATGCATTCGTCGAATGCGATTTCTGCATGACATCATTGGGTTTTAAGACATTCTTTTCGGAAGAAGTTATCCAGGTGCTTGAATAAGTGGTAATCGGTAGCCGAGAGGTCAGACGCGTATGGTTGGTTAGGCAGTGTGTTTCGTAGCTCGTTCTGCTTCTGCATGGTTGGTTGTACACTGTGTGGTGGAACGTGGTTGTGGTGAAGAAATGATCCTTTTCTTTTGACCAGTGTCTGACACGTGTTGATGCTCTCGGGTCATTTCGGCAATTTGTTGACAATAATTCTCCGATATAATTGTTTCTCATGGATTCAGAAAGCCGGGATGGCTCAGACCAGCCGTAGACTACCAAAAGTTACTATAAGCATTATTGTCTAGTTTTGGCTTTGGAAAGTGTTGAGGAACTTGCCCATGGTCCAACAATTTATCCTAGCGCCGTGGATTCTCCTAAAGGGTCCACTTTTCGTCACATCAAAGTTTGGTCTAGAAAGGGGTCGATTTTATTGCGCATAACACCCGCTTATCAATCTTTTTGTCATTCCAATCTTTTGTAAACGTTTGAAGACCGTCACATGTGATATTGCTAAGTCGGCAGCAGGTTCTCGAACAACTGTACTAGGATTCGCTTCAGATGAAGCTCTTATTTGGCTGTTGTCCCATCCTGATGGTCGTCCGCAAAGCTCTCGTCAATTTTTCAACAAATTTTGAAACTACCTTTGTGCAGTACGGTTACTAGTGATTCTGGGACCAAATGCACCGTCGATATCACGAGGTGTTGCCGTTAGTTTTCGAGCGAGTTTAAATTGACACAAAAATGTTGCTGATTTGCTTTCTGTCCTTGTTTTAAATGTTCTGTACTAGTGTAATAACACTGCAACACAATGCAGATGATCAAAGCAACTTATGAAAAATTTATTCGAAAATACAACCTTTTAAGTTAAAATGTCAAAAATCGCAATAGCTTTAATAATGAAATAATACATCTGTTGTAGCCCCAAACGTACATTTGGTTGCCGCTGTTCTCTCCTTAGATATAGCATGCAATCCGTTTCCGCTCACCACTGCAGCTACATCGTTCTCATTCATTCCATGGGTCGGGTCACGTGTAGGTTTCTGGTCTTAAATCCCTCGTTTCAGTGCTTGCTTTACGTCAACTGCTGTTCAGGCACTGTTAAATCCTTCGTAGGCAATTGAATTCTGCACGACTGTGCGGTCTACAACACACCGGCGATTGCTTCGTTGTCCGTAACATCTAAATCTACGAGTTGGAAAGTATGACCCCAATGTGAGTGCATTTGCAACGCTTATTATGTGAACTGGTTGAGACACCCACTTTTTATCTGGACCGCGATTTTGTGAGGTGTCCGTCGGTCACAGTGACCGAGATTGAGATTGCGCGTCATAACCCATTCACACACATCGGTCGCTTCATACGAAAAAATTATTGTGGCAAGCTTTGTCCACCACTCGGTGGTAGGGAGTTAAACGCGTCGACCAGTAGTCTCCACGTCTCGGACTCGAGTTGCACTTCTGCTTTCCCTGCCGGGCGAGTACGAAACCAGTCGTCATGTAGCGAACAAATTACACATGACATTTATTTGTTTGCAACAGTTAGTTCCCTTTAGTGGTTTGGAAACTGCAGTAAGAAGGTGAATACTGGCAAGGGCACCTTTTATGTTGCCTCATCAGTGCCTTTAACTGGCAATAGTATTTATTCAGGGCAGGGTTCGATCAAACATGGTTGGCGCCATCCGGTTCCGGATTTGCCTGTCGTTACGCCCACACAATAAGCGAGACGGGGTTATCACCCCTATCCATCAGTGCTATTTAAGGCTGACCGATAATTATTTCTGAATACAAAGCATCGATCTTATCCGGTTACTTGCGAACGCCTCTGCAGAACGAAGGAGGCGAGAATCACTGCGCTACCATAGTGTTGTGAACGCGGAAGTGACCTCCACTCGATGACCTGTGGTCAGTAAGTGCCTGCCGATCGAAGAGGCCGGTGGCCTACGCGGACAAGCAGCTTGGGTTAGACCAGTTTCCTGCGTATTCGGACGTTGAACCCACTGTTTCTCCAATGTTACGCACTGCATTCAACAACTGTAGCTCTGTTCAAAGTACTTACTGTCGCGAACTGCTCACTTTCGCGATTCGTAACGTTTAACCCATTCCGTCGATTATCATATCAGTTTTGTAGTGGGTGGCCTTTCTGTATCCATCGTAAATGAACTGGCTTACTCATATTTCAACGCCCATCATGATCTCCTCTTCTGGTCTCTTTATTAATGCTCCTGTTGTGTTGAACTTCTTGCTACAGAAGTGTCCTGTCTTCAGATATAATCACACTACTAAATTACAGTATATATCTCAAAATATTTTAGCTTTTAACAAAGGCATCTGCTAGGCTTTAGCTACGGAAGCTGAAGAAATTCAAGCAGAGAAAACCTCAGCATTATTTCCTTAGTCTTCTACAACTAATATCGCTTTCAGCCATGTTGCACGCTCTCGAAACCGTATATATACTAGTGTCGATCGAGATATTATCAGCTATTTTGAGGACGATGGCGTTTTCTCTCGTCTGCGTCTTTGAGTCAACTCAGATACAACTGCATTTAGGAAATTCAATGCCTCGATTTGCCTTTTCGCTATGCATTTGCCGGAGGTTTTATTATATATGAAACAGGTACAAGATTATCCGCCATTGAGTCAAACGTCGCTGGTTTCGCATTTTGATTGGCGGTTTGTTTCTCCAGCTTGTGTATTTTGTCTGACAGAGATATAAGTCACTGGACTTTCATGCTCATTTATCTGTTCTTCTACCCCAGAGAGTACAGCATGTGTGGAACAGGGCACAGGTTTATTGACACCCGTTGTGACCCCAACGGCGTCGCTTTCCGTACTTACTTCGTTTGCAGCACTTTCCTCCTTATTGCGCAACTTATTATGGCAACCATTTGATTGATTATCCCGTTCCCTTGAATGAAGACCTGAATGTGAAGGACAAAGTGATGCTTTGCTTCGACCTAGCAGCACTTTCCGAGGGTTCTCTTGTTGGAAATTGTCAATTTTATTTGCGAGTGCCTAACCAATAACAACATTGCTAATGGTATTCCTATCCAAAGAGTGAAAGAGCTACTCTTGCGCTGCACTTTTAACAAACAATTCTTCTTCGACGGAAGGCATTGCTGACAATCAGATGGAGTTGCAATGGAATCTCCTTCAGAAACACTCCTTGCTGATTCCCTTCTCGCAAAAATTAATCGCGGGCCTCTCCAGAATCTTATTCTCTCTCTTAACTACTAATTACTATCGCCTGTATCTAGACAACACATTCATCGTGTGCGACTTTTACAATAATCACCTGCGAATACTGGACCAATTTAACAATGCGCATCCATCGTTGATGTTTACCTGTGCGCTAGAGGAAGATGGGAAAATCCCGTTTTTGGATGCTTTATTGGGGCGTCGAGCTGATGGGTTGCTTGGGAAAAAGTTTTTCCGGAAGACAACATTGGTTGGCCAGTATACACTTTTAATTACGTGTCCATGAAATACAAGCTAAAACTTGTGCGCTGTTTGTACCATCTCCCGAAAGAATCTGCAGCCCAGTAACATTAATCGCTGAGAACGACTTCATTCTCGCGATGCTGCAAGCCATTGGGTATCCCGCTACGTTTGTCTAAAGACATTCTGCTGTTTGCGATCACAGAACATCAGCCGTAAAGAAAAATGATGTTTTCATTTCGGTTCCTTTCAATGAGGATACCCCTACGAGTTACGGAGCAAAAGACTGTCGATCGCAATGAGCCAAACATATCCGGCTGCTAGAGTACGCATTCTCGCCGAGACAGCCCTGCTCATAACCAAACGCCTTAACGACTGAACCTCGCGTCGTTCCGAATCATATCCGCTATGTCCATTCACTTGCACCTGTGGTGCAAGGTACCTCGCGCACGCGACCAGGCGTCTATCTAAGAGGATAGCCGAACATTTTTTTGCCTCCCTACAACATGACACGGTTAAGCTTGTCCACAGCTTTATCTCTGAGCATCTGATTAGTACTGGGTATCACATTCGGACTGAGGACGGATTCAAAGTCGTCTACACTGTATCGAAGCACATCCTGAAAGAACTTAGGAGGTAGCTTCTGACCACTGCCGAGGCGATGGCGATCGGACTATTGCAACTCGTTGGTTGTCTGATTGTTCGCTGAGCTCGGCAGGTTGACTGCAGTCAACCTGCCGAGCTCAGCAACCAACTGAACAACCTGAGCTACCAATATTTGCTTCTATATTGCAATTCGATTTGTGCAAGTAAAGAATGCTGATACAAGCTAGAATTTGCCCTAATCATAACCAGGATTCCGTCCAAATCTGACGGTACCGCCAACCAACTGAGCTTTGTTCCCCATAGGCCTCTACATTTTCTGTATGTATACGCGCGCGTGAGTTCTGCCACGTGACTTGATTGACAGTATTATTGCGCGGTTTCACTGGCCCTGTTTTAAACTGCTTTTGCAACTAACATTCTAACTTTAGCTTCCTTGTTTTCTCAATCTTCCCCACAAATGTAAATGGCTGATGCGAATTGTCGAAAAGGGATCTCTTCGCAATTCTTTTTTTATCTGTATGGGCATAATACACGAACTAAGTAATCGTAAAACAGGAAATTAGATTATCTAATAAATCTTAAACCCTTCGCAGTTCCTGTGGTTACAAAGATGGTTAGCGGTGAGAGACAAAACTTTTCAGATACCCACCAATATGGCAGGTTGGTCGGCTGACGAATCGAAAACGCCGCGTCAATCCAGCGTCCGACCTCACGGTCATGACTGGCTAGTTGTTCTTGAATGGGTCACGTAGAGCGCTGTCACGTGTTCCGAAATGAACTACGGGTTGATACCACGAGTTTGACGCGAATTATCGATCAAGCGGCGGCTGTTGTATGGGGTAGCTAGGTTCGATGTGAATCTCAGGTTACTGCCAAGCCGATTGCGTTTTTGGCCGTGTAGGGTAGTAGCAGTTTTCCTTCAATAGTTGCCTTGTGAAGCAATCGAGTGAACTGCTTGAGAACAATTTAAGAAGCTCTCAGCTTGGTGTTTCAGATGGTACCAACAACGTGTTTCTTATTCCCGCAGATGATAGATTTGTGCTCGAGTTTCATCACTTAAAGTACCAAAGGTGTTAATTGTCAAGGAACGAAGATCCGTAACGGGTAGATCCTAAAGGTTGATAGCGTTAAGAAGTTCTCATTTGGTGCAATCGAATGAGCCTAGACGCTTAATTGTACGACGAAAATTGATACCGCAAACCGATACCAAGTAAGAGACTTAAAATAGTTCAACCGCGTATACGCGCCCCCGTCTTCACATTTTTACCTAGCAATTGATTCAGTGTTCTTATTTCTCTTGCTGGGAACAATATGATTAGTTTAACTTAATGTTTTTGTTTTCATATGCTACCATACTCGTAAATTCTCACTTTCAGTGCTTTTGGTTCCCTACTATTACCTGCCCTTGTTACTCGAACTGGGCGGATCTGAGTGCAGCGTGAATAAACAGTGGTGTCCAAACGGGTTACCCCATCACGCGAACCTTCAGCCGAATTGGCTTCGTCACATTGTACGGTGGACTGCTGGGGACGATTCAGCAACATTTTTCGTCAGTCCGGGCTCCGTACTTCTAACCATAGGCTTCGCAAATGTTGTGGGCCGCATACTTGCAGGTAACAGGTTGTATTTTCTCAATACTTTTTGACATTCTGCTACCATTCCTGCGTCTTGACTTCAATATTCTTAGGTACGCTTCTGCAACTCACTTCTGCACATTGTTCCCGAAACGTTCGGTTCATCTCGAATTTCCCCCTTTGGATTCGCACATCGATGTCTAACTCCCGTTGAGTTGATGACAGATTGCAATACGCCTTCATAACTTCCCTGTATGTGGTACACAAACCCCTGTTCCAATCGTGTATTCTTTATGACACATTCACAAATCTCTTCCCCATCTTTCATCTTTTTTTCAGCTTTGTATATGGAACGCGACGAAAACGCCAGATATAAGTTATTCAAGCAATGCCCTCTTGTGAAAGACCCCCTCTTTTTGAATATTCTCTCGCTTCTTTTGTGCGGTCTATCACTGGCCTGTTTCCCACTCTCCATTCATGGGCTCGTTATGTCCACTCCACATCAGGATTACAATCAGCCTGAGCACGTGCAAGCATGGTCAACTGAGTTCCGCTTGATTCTGTTCTACTTCTCTTCGATCGTGTACGGTGTGGCTAGCGGTATGTTGGCCCTTTGGTGTCTTGCCAGTTGACATTCCCCAGTTGCAATTAGGCTGCCCTTTGGTCTATTTCTATTGCTGGCAATGTGGCTCTCTCGCTCACTTTGCCCAGTTGATGTCCGATTGCTTGTTTTCCATTACCCATATTCATATTGGCGAGTTTCTCCTAGTCACGATGCCACAATGCATTTCTCCGTATTTATCTTTTTCGGTAGCTGGCGGTCCCCATGAACGGCTGTGTAGGATTCTCCTTTTACACCGGGCACATGCCGCAGAAGTGTGACTCTCCGCTTAACATACGCTAACTGATCTGCCTGTCTGCATAACGATGTTGTGTCTGATACGGAGTTGGTCAGTCATCACTGACTCCTGTCTTACATTCTCAGGTATACTCTGTCTCACTACGTGACCAGGTACTTCGGGTATGGGTCAATACCTTTTTCGGTACAGATTAATTTCATGCACTGGTTGAAACGCCTTGCTTTCTCTGCATATGCGGTGTGCCTTCTTTTCTAATTGCCATCCTAAAGTTTCTTGCGGTCGAATATACGGGTAATCTTTTCCCGTTTTCCCGATCAGAACCTGGATAGCTTCAATTGGAACACCAAATCAGTAACTTCTTTGTTTGACGGTAACTCTATCTATCCATCTTCGATCAGTGGCTGATCGCAGGGTGCATCGCAACTTGATATTCATTTGTTCGCTTAGAGCTTTTAAGCCAGTTACAATCTGTGCTGGAACTGAAACAGCGCTTTTATGATTACAGATGCACGTAGGCATCTTTTTTTGGGAACCTGCCACTTCAACACATAGTGCATGATGTGTATTGCCACATAACCTTCATGGCGGATCTGTTAAGCCCCACCACCGTCCTTAATTGTATTGTCACGCACCGTTCTCTACACCAAATTGATGGACCTCGTTGATAGTTTCATCTGCAAGTATACCTGGGATCGCAGCTCTCAAATTGCTTACAATTGTTCGCACATTTCCGCTATATCAACACCTCAAAACCGTCTCGAATGACCGATCAATTTGTTTACTCCAAATGCATTATCTGTACTTTCGAAGATCAAACTTTATTTACATCCCACTGCAGGGCTACAGTGTGCATTCTTTTTAACATTCGCGGTGATGTAGAGAATTCTTAATGACCTTGTGGTTTATTGGTATGACTGTTTAAGTGTACAATGAACGTAGTCGTCGTTCTTTATTCTTAGCATTTTTATATTACCTGTTGGTATGTCAGCAGTTGCGTTCCGCTTATTATCTACTAATGGTTTGACTATTCGGTCGTATGCTTAACAATCGTCTGCCAGTGCACTTCGTGAATGGTTTTCTCCGTGTCCTCCGCTTGTTCGACTATCTTTCTCACCGCGCCACCCACCTCTGGCTTTTAATGAGTTTTGTAAGTGGATTGTATTGCTATGCTAAGAACCACACCAGTATCGGCTGCAGAAACTGTTGTGTTGTCTCATCTGGCGTTATTCGATGTTCTTGGGGCAATTTTTCTAGTCGCAATAATTTTGCCCGTGTGTTTTCACTTGGATTTAATTTGAATGGAGCTTTTCAACTATTTTCAGCCATCGCTCTTTCGCTGCGTAGCGTCATCTTAGTGGAGCTGTTCGGAATTCGACGATTGACCAACGCTTTTGGTTACTTACTAATCTTCCAAGGTGTATCTGTCGCTTGTGGGCCTCCTCTTTTCGGTACGTTTGATTCAGTCAATTGGGATGTTATTTTTAATTTGTTCTCAACTCACTTACTCCATCTTATTTCCTTACATGGCCATCGATCACACTGATTCTCTCCGTAACCAAACGTGTTATGTGTCAGTTAGATGAATGAAACCCACAGTTGCCCCCATTTTTATTGCTTCTGTGCTCTTTATTGACGCGGCATTTCAACTTCTCAGGTTCTTCATTGGGGTGGGGCTTGCTACGCAACCTTTGTTTGATTCATGAATTGATCCAAACTGAGTTTCGCTCACTGCAATCGTTGGAGCTGCATCCGAAGTGTCGACTTTGTTGCTGTCTCCCTTTCTAACCAATTTCGTCCTTGTTTTTGGCTATTTAGGTGGATTTGTGTTGTATTACAACGGGTGCCTCAATTTTGCAAATTTCCCCTCTTCTACTAATCATGGTTGCTTCCACTCACGTTATCCACCCACAGTTTTGGGGCGCGGTCACCCCTGTTGCCTCATAAACATTCTCTTCTGAAGGGATGACTGGATTTTCAGTGTTTTGGATAGCACTCATCATAAATGGAGCTAGTTAGACAGTCAGCAGCGTCCGAGAATCGTAAAACTACTACTTATTCTCTTTGGGACCCAATATCGATGATTATCCTTTGGTCTCGATGAGAGATAGAGAGGAGACAATGCGCCGCCCCTTGCAGGCTTCGAGTTGTCTCTGGGCCTCAGTCGATGCAGAGTGATTTATTTTAACACCTTTCAGCGCCACGCTTGGACCACTGATAGACTCGTGAGTCATGATGCAGTTTTTGCAAGTCGATGTTTACAACATAGCGCGCGGGATGCCAACGTCATGGTAGTCTGCATCTTCGGTTCGGTTGACCACCGATGATCCGAGCATCGTAGTGCGGTCGATCCGGCTGCCACGACTCACATCGCAAGAATAACAATAAATAACAACGGCAAGATAGTGGGGTTAAAGGCAACTAGAATGTAAAGCAAGTAGAAGCAAGAATGATGCGCGTTAAACTAATCAGAATGGAACAAAATTAACAACCAGATGAAAGAAACCGAATGCAGTAACGCTACTGGCTTCGTGACTGTACCATATCTGATGCGGTCACTGGTGTTGACCGTCCCGAGACCCCCATCCAGGAAGACGTCACGCACCAACCTGACCAAGTCTCACATTCAATTTCTTCATGCTTCCATGTTAGACCATGGACTGGCCACCTCGCGGTTTCGCCCAACTTGCTGCGGCGACGGCGTATAATACACACCGAGGAAGCCGATCAACGGGTATACGGAAGGCATAGACTAGCGAGTGCAAGCGACTAAAATTTAACAAACACTTGAGAGAGCCACCAGTAGGCTTCTTGCCAAAACCAACTGACGAACCTCAGTATTGCTCATCCCGTGTTCCCACCAAATGTAAACAGTACTTCGCACGCACCGGTGGTCAGAAACGGCCTAACGTTTAATGTCTTCGCCGCGGACTGGCGAGGTCTCTGATCCATACAGTAAGACCGGTCTTACCGCAGCGTTCTACACCCTATTCTACGCTGACATGCTGACATTCCGCCATCTCTATAGATAGTCGAGCCACCGGAAAGCCACTCGGGCCATACTGATGCGCGAAGTAACTTCCTCAGTGATGTGACCACCAGAGATGACAACTACCAAGTGGCTGTTCGGAAATAGCTAAAACCGGATGTGTTTTAGCCCAGTCCTGCAACAGCACTTTGCACTTTGAAAGTTCAAAGCACATGCTACGGCGTGCAGCGCTACGCACAAGTCCATGCAGTGGTGTTTGTGTACCCATTATGTCAGACCCAAGGAGAGATATGTCGTCCGCATACTCCAGGTTTGTCACTCGGTCGCCTGACAGAACTTCCACTCCAGAATAGTCTGCAAGAACCGAGTTATTCATGATCATTTCGATCACAAAGTCGAAGAGGAAAGAAGATATTGGACAACCCTGGCGAACCACGCTTGTCTTGGGGAACGCAGGAGACAGTTTTCCTTAGACCCTTACACGGCCTCGAGAATCACTGTAGAGGGACTTCAGAATGGAAAGGAATTTAAATGGCACCCCCGTCATGGATAGGCAGTGCCACAAGTTGGCGCAGTCAGCAGAGTCGAAGGCGGCTTTCAAGTCAAGGAGAGCCATCATCGTCGATCGTCTATATGTGTGTCTCTGTTCTAAAACTTGGCGAAGAGTAAATATGTGGTCGATGCAACCACGGCCAGGGCAGAAACCAGCCTGGCTTTGAGTGATTCGGTTCTCACGGGGACCACTAAGTCGTCGAAGCATGAGACCTGAGAGGAGTTTTGATGCAGTGGAAATAAGACTAATGCATGGATGGTTTCGCACGAAGTACGGGCACGGTAGTTGATAGGCGCTATTCTGAAGGCACTTCTTCAGTATGTCATATCATGTTAAATAAAGAACCGAATCCAGTCAACAAGGAACCAGCTACATTTTCAGCAAAGATGGAACTAGGTCATAGGGTCCGCGAGCCTTGTTTCTTTTTAACTCGGCGAGCTCATGTCGAATCTCTTCCAAAGTAGGAGGTGTGACATTTATTTCTCACATCGGCTCGGGTGAATCGGCAAACACCATTGTCGTAGCAGGCCCGCTAAACTGCTCTTCAAGATGTTCCGCCCAACGGGCTAGTCGACGACGCTGAAAATAGATCGACAGTCCATCTTTCTCAGCTATTGTCTCGCTAACGGATAACTTTCTCGGACCCGTGTTCCGGATGAGTTCGAATAGCACTCTGTTGTTCCTATCTCTCGGCTCTTTGGAACCCACCGACGTTCCCGGTCAATCTGAAGACTGCATGTCAAACGGCGTTTCAAGGAGTTACGGACAAACTGAAACCCAGTGCCCATCAGAACCCTTTTCCGTGCTTGGATCAAACTGATCGGTGCTTCAGAGATCCATTCAGAGTCTCAAGTCGGGTGCACAGCAAGCGTCAAATGTATTCTTCATGTCACATTTGAGAAGCTCCCAGTCAGTGTTTGGCTCACCGACCTCATTTCTCTCTGACAATTGGTAGTCCAGTTCGTTATGATATTGTTGAACTGCAGACTGTGAGTTTAAGTTACAGATAAGAAAGTTAAGGCATAAGTGCTTCATTAAAGTGGGAAAAGTGAGAGCCAAGCGCGCACGCACTAGAGCATGGTCAGAATCCAGGCTTGTGCTCCAAATCGACCGACAATCTCGATGTGCGGCACCTGCAACTGTATGCACTATGGTCAAATTGCGTCCAGGTCATTGAGAAATAGGGTAGGCGCCAAGTTGCGCGGTGTGAACGTTTGTGCTGGAAAGCGGTGCTGCTAATATAAAAATTGTGATCAGCGCACGGTTGCAACGATCGATCACCATTATCTGCTTGGCGGGCATCGACTCCTAAATACGCTCACAGGTGTTGTTCAGAATCTGAAAGACGGCGCAATTAGGCATTCAAGGCAACAATCCCGATGTTAGTATTCTTCGTCATGCAAAGAGATGGAAGATGATAGTAGAACTCATCTTTGATACCCTCCTAACTGCCGACAGTAGAAGCATAAACGGAAGCAATGGAAAGACACCTTGTTTTCATACGGCGCTTATTAACCCTAATAGAGGTTTGAAATCGAACTACACACCGGTATCCAGTCGAGTAGATTGCCTTCAGCATGTCTGCTGTGGTCAATCCCAATACCGTAGTTACCTTAAGCCATTGACTCGGTATCTCCAGAGACGCGAAGAGTGTAGTCATTGTCATCAGATTCAGAACTTGGGAGTCGAAGATTCGTCACAACGCTGTTATCTTGTATGCGTCTTTCGGAGACACAGCACACATCAATACAAAGAGATTGCAGAACGACAGTCAGTGCTGCCTGTTGACCGATCTGACCCAAAGTGCTTACGTGGGAAGAACCAGTATGAAATGAGACTCGTGGTTTGATGGACGAGTTACTAGTATCGATGGCAGCAGCAGCGAGGTCAGCGGCAGATTCTTGCTCACTAGACGGGAAGAAGAGTTGAGAGCGGAGCGAAAAATAAGGAAAAAGTGGGAGTATTATCGAAGTCGTCGAGAGGGCAGAGGATACTCTCCGGCTGTCCATTCCGAGAAAGGGATTTTGTTCGAGGTGCCCTACCTCTATTCTTTGGTTCACAAGGCATTGGGGAACATGGAGGTTCACTTGAGGGACTCCACCCGGAGCTTTTGGCTCAATGACCTGACCCACAATGCAGTGGGGCGCAAGTCTAGCTCTAGAGTATGGTTGCAGAGACCCATTGAGATCCTCTCGAGGCCTGCCACACACACACTTTGAAGATTTGGAACAATTCACATGTGTTTTGCGACCTACGACTGCGGCCAGACGCAGATCGGTTTTCACGCGTTTGCACCAATTTAACTAGGGGCTGTCTGGTTTGAGGCGGACGGCGCAAACCATTGAGCACCGGAAGGTGTCCTCGCACTATCAGAGACAATGCGTGGCGCTCGTGCTCTACGGCAATTGAGCTGTAAGCTTATAACCCGTAGACCTGTTGTCTCCCATGGCTAGGTTTTACGGGAAGTGGGCCATCGACCTCACCCTAACCGAAGAGTATTGGATTGAGAGGCTTAGTTAGTCTGACCCCTAATCATTGACCTCTCTGGTGTGAGTGGCTCTGAAGGCACTTGGAAATTTCCACCTGGCGTAGCTCAACGGGTCGGGTGGGTACGCAGACCATCGCACCACGCTAAGGTCCAGTCTCGTTGTGACTGGAGCGGAAACCAGCCCGTTCTTCACAGGAGTGTAGCTCTAGAATCTTGGTTAGTCTGCATAGTGTGATAGATGCTAAAAATCTGGAAGCAACGCGTATTAGAATGGTTCCTCTGTAGTTGGTGCAAAGGACACGGGTATCCTTCTTGATGATCGGCATGATAGTCAACGGATCCCAAGAGGATGAAACCTTCACTTTACGTCAAATCCTTGAAATATAGCCTCCTGTCTGGAATAATAAATGTAACCTTGTTT